AGATGGATACAATTCTTGCAAAGTTTTTTTCTGAAACTAAAATTTGGATTATCACAGAGTAAGATTTGATGTTGGGCAATTAGACTTTATAACTGTGTAAAAGGTGTGTATCCCTGAATTTATAAGTTGCATTTTACACTTATTCACTGCCAAACATAATTCAGTAGAACCTTGATGAACCAAGAATTACACTAGCCTACATAACTTCATTACCCCAAGTAAAATACCAAGATAATTTTTATAATTGTATTTGAATCGTATAATCTTAGTTTGTTAAAAATGGATTGTATGTTCAACAATAATTGCAGTCCATTATTGTTAAGCAGTATGGTCCCAAATTATTGTTTTTCATTTTGAAACATAACAGTTCATTTGACAAAATTATAGTTGAAGCAGCTCAATGTCAAGACACGCACGCTTGTGCAATAGTTTGTTTATGCTTTCTCCAGACCACGGGAGAGGGGAGGGTCTGATAAGCCGTCTATTGTTCACCCCCAAGAAGGTCCGACCCTCATTAGTGCCGCTCGGCTGCACTCAGTGGGGAACCCAATACCACAAATCAATCTTTTAAATGAATACAAATATTTGGTAATAATTGTTTTATTAATATTCACCTTGAAATTTCAATACATTTGGTGTAAAATTTGACAAAAATCTGCCATTTGGACCGATTATTAATACAACACCAAATACCAATAAAGTAGTACATTCATTGGTAATTAAATAATAGGTAAAGATTTACCGATTTTTGTCAAGTTTTACCCCCTGCTGTGCGCTATGTCACAAAAGCTGATAACGACATGGGTGATTAGTAACCATGGCAACTTGTTGAATGCGTGATGAAGGGAAACCCAAGAAATAGCAGAACAAAGAGAAAGAATGACGTTGTTATCTTTATACCCTTTTTATAATTTCCGTTATTGTTATCTTTATGTAAGATTTTATGATTTTGTTTTATAGGTTTATAAAATAATTCTTTTTAACTACGGGAATATCAATTTATAATTTATCAACGTGCTTCTCTTCTGAAACAGCAATACCGGATGCATAATAAAGGCCAATGGCCTAAAATATCACGATTGTGCAATATTGTATTTTGATGTTGAAATTAAAATCACGACAAAAGTTTGTATATATCCATGGTCGTCAATAGAAAGATAAAATATCCAAAACAAATATTTTAATTTATAAAATAAGATTGTAGATTAGTTACAAGTAGGGATGGACGAGATTGGATTTTTAGTTCGAGACGAGACGAGACGAGATTTTTTATTTCTCATAAAATTTTGAGACGAGATCGAGACGGGATTTCCCTTCTCATACACAACGGGAAATGCACGTTCAAAATTTTTACCTGATTTTGTAACATTGTTAGATGACTGTTTAAATACAAATATAATGATAATAGGCAAGAATATTTACAATCTTTTATTAAAAAACATCAGCATAACATTTTTTTATTAATCACGCCTAACTTATTAAAAATGCCTACGATTAGTGTCGTGCGCCAGGATGGTGGGCAAAGACGAACAACAATTATAAATACTATTCTTTATTAAACACAAGCTGTATTATCATACTTTTGGATAAATCCAAATATTTTCACAGTGTTACATAGTTACACTAAATTATCATAATTTATTATTGTTACTTTAAAATAAACCAACAGCATCATGGCTGAGTGAGCTCACTGATATTCGAGAAAGGTTTGTAATTAAGTCCTAAGTTTTGTCGGTAGCTATAAATTTATAAGTTAAAACATTACAACAAGTATTAGTGAACTTGGCTGATTTAGCAGTAACCCGAGGGACTACTTACAACTGAGAAGGTGAGTGCTACCAGCAGGAGTCTGTAGAAGAGAATGATCTCTTCTTCAGCTAAAAACCTATGAGTTGCAAAAATCCCCTCTCTTAGTTTCGCCATAATCTACATTGCCATATTTGGTAAATCCTTGAAATAAACGATTCCTATTGGTTAGTCTATTCGAGGACAACAACAGGATGCTCATATCTGTATGTAAGCGCGTGGCGACTGATAATCATAACTGGACCAACTATCCTTTTAAATAAAATTATTTAAACAATAAAATTTTAGAAAAATATAATTTATATTAAAACCAATCTAAATAAATTCCAACTAAAATTCGAATATATATCTATATATAGTGATGACAGCATCACATTAGGAAACATAGTGATATCAGTTAGGATAGAGTTCAACTTATCCTAAAATAAAATAAATCATAAAATAAAAGCAATATTAATTTTTATAAAATAGTTAGGTACTTGTTTTGACTTTTTATAGTAATAAACATTACTCACACTGCTTACATTTAACAAAACTTCTCAAATGTTATTAAAGTAATATTATTAAAATAATTAAAGTAATATTTACATTTAAAGAATTAATTAAATAAGAACGCCTTCGCAAAGGAAACGCAACTACAACACGCTCCTGTATTGCGGGTATTGCATTGACTTTCTGCAGGCTTTTTGAATTTTTTTTTTTTTTTTTTTTTTTTTTTTTTTTTTTTTTTTTATTCTTGTCTCAATAAAAATCTTGGCCAAAAAGAAATCTCGTCTCGTGTAACGAGATTTAAAATTTCCCGAAAATTTCCCGAAATTTCGAGACTTGACCATCCCTAGTTACAAGTTTAATATGTAGCCATAAACAGTTTTATGGCAGTAGGCAATGGCCAGCGGCAAATTCAATATTCACGAAAATACTGATTAAGTTAGAGATAACATTTAACAGTCATCATAAAACTATTATTTTTATGATAAAACACAATTGGGGAAAGTCGTAAAGAAATAAACGTGATAAAACTCAACAGTTCTTGGAAGTACTTCAATACAACAATTATTGTCAAGATAAAATGTAAATGGATTTGGGACTGCAAATGGGTTTTTTATTGCATCATCACGCTAGTAATAAATTATGAAGATCGTAAACAAACATCTGATAAGACTTTTATGTGCTCGGAACCAACTGCTGTTGACTACGATAGTAAACTGAATGTAATTTATTATTATAATAGGCTGTACCGAGCTGTACCGAACCGATGACGGTAATTAAGCTTGTACCGTACCGTACCGACTTTTTCGGTGCACCGCAGACCCCTACTATTTATTTATAAACACTGCACCTTATTACTTATTAAATTTAATTGATGTCTTACTGTATAATTTTTAGCGTTTTCTGTCTGTACTCCAAAATGTTGTGTGGACTCAATTCTGTGTTTGTGTGTGTATGTCTGTTAGTAACACATTAATGTCCTAATTTTTCGTGGAAAAGACAAGAGCACCATTGTTAATAAACATTTCAACCCGAATAAAGTGTGCAGTAGTAAGGTTTAGGTAGTGTTTTAACTACTTTTAACCAGTGTGAAAAGTAACTTTAAATTACAGGCCTACCTTAGAGCTATGCCTCATAGATCTATACTGTAAAGCAATTCCTTTCATCGTTTGATATAAAATATGGACTAACACGATCGGGTGACATTTAATTGCGAAGCATTTGTTTTGGCTTTGAAACGGTCAGATATTGTATTTGAGAAGGTTTATATGTATTCCTAAACAGTTATAGTTTTGCCATCATATCTGGAAAAAATTCACACTAAATATGCAAACCAACTCCTGTTCTGAATATAAGGTTTTAACTTACTACTAGGGATGGACGAGATTGGATTTTTAGTTCGAGACGAGACGAGACGAGATTTTTTATTTCTCATAAAATTTTGAGACGAGATCGAGACGGGATTTCCCTTCTCATACACAACGGGAAATGCACGTTCGGAATTTTTACCTGATTTTGTAACATTTTTAGATGACTGTTTAAATACAAAAATAATGATAATAGGCAAGGATATTTACTATCTTTTATTAAAAAACATCAGCATAACATTTTTTTATTAATCACACCTAAATTATTAAAAATGCCTACGATTAGGAAACATAGTGATATCAGTTAGGATAGAGTTCAACTTATCCTAAAATAAAATAAATCATAAAATAAAATATTAATCTTTATAAAATAGTTACTTGTTTTGACTTTTTTATAGTAATAAAACATTCCTCACACTGCTAACACTTAACAAAACTTCTCAAATGTTATTAAAATAATTAAAGTAATATTTACATTTTTGAAGAATTAATTAAATAAGAACGCCTTCGCAAAGAAAACGCAACTACAACACGCTCCTGTATTGCGGGTATTGCATTGACTTTCTGCAGGCGTTTTTAATTTTTTATTTTTTTTTTATTTTTTTATTCTTGTCTCGATAAAAATCTCGGCCAAAAAGAAATCTCGTCTCGTGTAACGAGATTTAAAATTTTCCGAAAATTTCCCGAAATTTCGAGACTTGACCATCCCTACTTACTACTAGATTCCCGTACGTAGAACGGGCAAACAGCTAGTTGTGGAATATTTGTAATTAGTATTTTTATATACTTTATAAGTTTTGATGTTAGGTATTTTTCCTCTTTGCCTTTACTTCATCATAACCTGCAGTCTTTCATTGTCGTCATTTTAATGTGAACAGCAGGCAACTACGACTGTCTTTGTACTGCACGCAATGTGCATTGATATGATTTTAAAGGTTAAAATTAAACCCCCAGTTATATGTGTTGTCTGGAAAAAAGTTACAATTATCTTATTAAATTGTTGCTATAAACATGTTTATCCCCAAAAACTCTGACCTAATTTTGAAACCAAATTTTTTTAATTGTCATTAGAAAACCATGAATGTAAGATACTATCAGCTATTTACATAGTAATGTCAATGTATTAAATTTTAAAATAGTTTAAACACAATCCTGAAAAAAAACGGCAAAATTACTGGTAACCACATATGTGCAGATTTTGTACAGAGAACTGAGGTACAAAGTATTATACCGTACCGAACCTTACTGACCTTAAATTTTCTGTACTGCAGGCCCCTACACATAATCTGCCATACAGTGATTAGATAGATTGCTAAACCAAGGTGTTTTCAATTACAGGTTCTACATCTGTTGCGACCGTTGCCAGGACTGGTTCCATGGCCGCTGCGTTGGCATACTACAGTCAGAAGCTGACAACATTGATGAGTATGTGTGTCCCAACTGTCAGCGCAACTCGTCTATCAACTTTGCCAACATGAAGAATCTCAACACCAAGGACTTTGAGGCCTTGAAAAAACTCATCAAACAAATACAAGTATGTTTAAAGTGTACCTGTGCTACTGTCAAACAACTCTTTGTAATTAGTGTGATGATAAAAGATGTGGAGTAGAACCTACAACAAACCTTCTGTTAAATAATGACAAAAGTGGCTAACAAGTTGTCTAGTTCATTCAAGTATAAATATTTGAACCATGCCTCCATGGTGTCAACACTAATCAAATTACTTTTTTCTGGAAGACTCTGACTGACTATGAACAACTACAATTCAATTTGGTCTTTAATGAATGCTTGTTGGCAAAATTTGTCCTGCAAACACTCTATGCCTTTATTTACACAACAAATGTTGAGGTCATCCACTTCAATTCTCAGACAGAGAAAACTGTGGCCATCGACTCCATTCATCACATAGACAAAATTGTAGCTAACTTATCCGCTTAATTTCTTATGTAAAGAATGCTGCTGCCCTCCATTCCATCTTCCTTGGTCATTTTCTATTGCTGCCACATAATAAGTAATGTAACAATGAATGAATAGTTGTGCTTATAACCTCAAGTAAACTGTGCCATTTTAGTAAACATAGTTCTGTATCTAAATGGTTACTTGGCTTCGTCAAGTGATCCATTTTTTTTTTAGGTACACTACTGTTGTTTCAGACATCTATAACAGTCCACCATCAGGTGAAACAAAAACATCGATCAAGTCATCTAACCGATTTGGCTAGATCTGTCTTTGACATTGAAAACATATAAAACACAACAAAAACACTGAAAACTTAAAAACTAGTGATTGGTCGGTTGCTGATTTTATCGGTTCGGGGGTTTTTTTATCAGTTTTTGGTTTTTCGGTTTTTTCTTTAATTCAAAAATTATTTAGATACAAATTTTCTCTCTACTCATGTAAAGGTAGTACAAACGTTAAAAAATGGAATTTGCAATTTCTTAGGTAAGGGCTATTATATAGCAATTGAAAGAAGTAGATAATTTACAACACATAAAGTCATAGTCATATAAATTATTTTAAAATTTATTGATTTAAATGGTCGTTTAATGTGTAAATAATTTATTAGTAGAATAAACTGTTTACAATATTTAGAAACCCATGATATAAAGAAATGGGTATATATTTTACTCACTAACTTATAAAATAATATTAATTCGACTTTACAGTCAAAATTTACAATTTAACCTTTAACTTAATGAGTGTGACACATTAGCCCAAATACCCCCTCAACACTTTCTCGAACTAGCCTATCATATTTCTTATCAGTTTCAAAATGAATTATATGTTTATCTTTAGATGGTTACAATTATTAAAACCCAGATTTTTCTGAAAATAAAGGAAATTCAATATGAAAATATAATTGGGTTAGCACTTAATATTGTGTAGATTATTGTCGTTTCAGTTTCAAAGTTTAACATCAAATCATATCAATAATAAGTTTATCTTAAGCTCAATTAAATTGTCTTAGTATATTTTACTGCTCTACCAAAGAATCAAAATACCTTTATTTTAATAATATAAAGGCTTTTTTTATTTTATAAGGCCTATACCTGATTATTTAGGAGGGCCAATTAGAATAAAAGAGATTAACAATCTAAGTAATAACACTTTTATGAGCTTCAACTATTAACTTAACAAGTTCTCGGAAGTACTTGCTGCCCCCAACAAAATGATTATTGTCATGATAAAACAATAGTGGGTTTGGGCAAGGCCACACTAAAAAAAACAGGCCGTAATGCTCGTCAAGCATGACGTCACGATAGAAGACGGCAATGACGTAATGTTTGCCGTTTGTGATCAGCTGCTTGTTTTAATCTTTCCCTGGAAAATAAATACTAACGTCATTGCCGTCTTCTATCGTGACGTCATGCTTGACGAGCATTACGGCCTGTTTTTTTAGTGTGGCCTTGGTTTGGGACTGCTATATACAATATATATACAATATATTATTCTAATACACTCTCATCTGGCATACAGAATTTGTATATATGGAGCTACCTCAATATATAATTTGGACAAAATTCTGATAAAACAAAAAAAGCAATACGAATCATGTTAGGTTTAAAAAGCACAGAGAGTGTCGAAAACTTGAGATGTTCCAAACTTATCCTCATTGTTTACTTTTGAATTTGTATATAAGTTGAATGTTAATAAACCATGTGTTATGTATCCAAATACCTAGGCCTACTATTAGCTAAATTAATACCTCTAAATTATCACATGTGTTTACATACAGTAGAAGGGCAAAAGGTTCCACCTATTGTAAATTTCCATATTTCACATTCTCATCAAACACTGTCATTTATTTAATAAGCTAAATTTATAATCACTGGAAGTTATTTATACAGTTTGAATTATTTTACAAAACTAGGTGAAACCCGTCGAAATCGACGGTTATTTTCAAGGATTACGCTAATTCATCTAACTGCGATAAATTGAGTGAAATTGTACATATTTTGAGCATTTAGCATTGTTTAATGATTAATAAGTGTAAAAACTACCAAAAATGGTTGATCATTCAATGAATAAAGTATCTCCCATACTGTACGTCATCGGAGTTATTAGTATATTATCTGGTATCTCATCGTTTGGATTAAACTTTAAATAGTATTAAAATCGTATTGGTGGATCTTTTGTAGTTAAACACTTCCGTGATTTCATCAGTGTAATGCAGATTAATCTATGATTTTATTTGAAAAAAATATCTGTTTGTTGGGAAGACACGTTCTAACTTCAAAGGGAGATATCCATTACAGTGTAAGTTTGATTTTTCCTTCGTCACGTCGCGTCAGTTCATATCGTACTTCTGTGCTAATGAATAACCCTCTATCACAGTTTTGAGAAATTTGTTGTGGGGTTACTGTTAAAGCTGGAATTCCTTGACATGGGGGATGTCAGTTAGTTGTCTCAGCCATATCAATTACATAAAGTTGTCAATATAATCTCTCTACGGAATGTGAGGTGTAGTGGAATATACTTGAAGTGAAGTTGGTTTTTATTCTTAAACTGTTAGGGGCCTCCTCATTTATATGCGGCTTCATTGACAACAAATAATGCAAATGACATAGCAATGGGACATTTCCAAAAAGCAAAAATACTGTAAATTTGCTGTTACGTAAATATTGACGTTTACATGCATTGTAATCAACGTATCTTATAAAGGATGATGTGATCTAGTTTAAAAGGAATATAACCTTTCTGTCATGACAGTAGCTGCTTAAATATTATTTACTCATTGGGCCATATTTACAGCCAAAATGTTGTGTTATTTTCAATAACATATGGGTAAGTTACATAGATTTTTTTGCTGCTGATCAGTGCACATTAAGAATATATATTTTGGAGATAAATTAAATGGTTTTTGTTGCAGAGTAGCGCTAGTAAACATGCACAACCCTTTTTGTTAGTCTAATAACATTCAAAGGCTCTCTAAGAATTCAAGTTCTTATTTGTATAGGTACATATCTATATTATGTTTTCACTAAGCTGAATGAACACATCGAAGTAACTTCTCTGAAAAGTCTTCAGTATATTGCAGTTTTCCAGCTTAATGACTTTATTTATCATGCAAATATTTCTACATAAATATTGTAAAATGTTTTATCCAGTTGCTGTAAACTACTATTAATTTAACAAAATATGGACACGGTTCAAATAGGCACCGTGCCCTTCTGCACTTGTAGGCTATTATTTTGTATTGTATTACACAATTTAATATTTTTCCAATGATTGAAAACATATATGACAATAATCTCATGAACCTATGATGATCTGTCTAGAACAATATGATAAAAATAAAGACAAAAATGGTGAAAAGGGCAGTCACCAACCCGTAAAATAGATATAAGGTCAATAAGAAATAATTTTAAGAGTTACTGTGATAAAAGGATTTTCCACTGATTTCGTCATGGTATATATTGCAAAACATAACATGATACAGAAAAAAATTAATTTTAAAATCATAAAATAACATTGCAAATGCTTCTTTTGGACAATTCAGTAACTCCCAATTAATGTGTCTTGTTTAAAATACAATTTACAAATTAACAGCTGTTTCATTAAAAAGTATTATCCACATGGCCAAAATGTAAACAAATCTGTAGAGGGATCTTTAAAGGCTTCTGGGGCAGAGCCCTAAGGGAATTTACTTCGTTTTTCTTTTGATAGCCCATCTACAGACAAAGACCTTTCTTTTGACACCCCTACCAAGTTTCTACGCCCAGCCGTTCTCTCAAATTAGTGGAGACAAAGTTTCCAATTAAATTTTTAGATTCCCCCATGTTAATCTTATGGGAGATTATGGGAGAAAATCCAACTTTGATGGAAGATCCTGCCCAAACTAATAAAGATATCAAAAAACGAAAAACACTTTGCAAAACTACAGATCAGGGCAATTCTTATGACATTTTTATCATCAAAATCGGTCCAAAAATGAGGGAAGAGTTCTGTTCACAAAAATCGGCTTAGCGTATTATATATATCAGGGTGTATACCAACCGGGAGAACCGGGAAATAACCTTGAATTTGAAGGGACCTGGAAAAAACCGGGAAAAAGCCGGGATTTTTGGACCGATTCCGGGATTTTTATTTTAGCCCCGGTAGAAGATTGTAGTCGTAAAATACGTCTTGCCGCGATTGCGGGCGACGACGATGACGTTTCAGTGATCGCGGGATACAACAATGACATCTACACGTCCGCGGGAAATGTCCATGATTTTGCCGCGATAGCGGCCGACGACGATGACGTTTCCGTGACCGCGGGAGACGACGATGAGGTTTCCGTGACCGCGGGAGACGACGATGACGTTTCCGTGACCGCGGGAGACTACGATGACGTTTCCGTGACCGCGGGAGACGACGATGACGTTTACGTGACCGCGGTATACGACGATGATTACGTCTACACGGCCGCAGATTTTTATGATTTTGCCGAGATCGCGGACGACGGCGATGACGTTTCCATATCTGCGAGAGGCAATGATGATGTCTACACAGCCGCGGAAGATTTTCGTGATTTGCCGTGACCGCGAAAGA